TTCCAAATTTTTATGATTTTTCGGAACTCAGGGCGGCTCAATTTTCGTTTTCTAGAAATAGCTTTCGACTAAAATCATTTGCTAGAATTACGACTGCAATGACTTGACTCAAAAAATTCTTAATTAGAGTCTTTATTCAAAAACAAGCAAAAAAAATGAAAACAAACAAAGTTTATTCAAAAAATCAAAAACAAGCAAGGTTTATTCAAAAACAAAGATAGATAGTTATTTGGAATTAGCACAGAAAATACCAACAAGGCACTTTTTCATTACGTAACTAAACAAAATAATTTTAAAAATGTTTAGTGAGAGGCGACTGAACTAGGAAGGAGCCACAGGAACCATTTGAAAAAATCTGAACAAGGATAGCTAGTTACTTGGATACAAGGATAGTTGATGTGGTTTTTACTGCATGTTGCGATAAAAAGATTTGAACGAAAAAATAGAACTTAGGCATATTTGAGAGTCATAGTAAAAAATCTCATTGTTAAACAGTTTTTGAAGAAAAATGACTAGAAACACGAAAAAAATTGCTAAAATTTATTAAATTTTTGATTCTCAAACTACGCAACAAAACTCCAAAAACTACCTTTACTTGAATAAAATTGAATTTTCAGGGCTTAAATAAGCTTTTGTTAACATACACGGTCACCTAAATAGCTCGAAAATAGACTAAAAATCAAAAACTTCAAATCGGTTTTTCTCGACACTGAAAAATTTTTTTTTAAGGTCGTTCGAATCACGACTGAAAGGGCTTTAATATGATATATGAATCAAACCATTCCGATGACTTTTTGTGGTACCTGATTTTGCGTGAAAAAAAAATAAAAAAAACTAAAATACACCCGAAAACAAAGTTCCTGCCCATTTTCAATGGTCGGAACAAAAAAATCACAAAATTCCCTATCTGGAAAAAAACAAACTTGTCTAATAATCAGTTTTGAAAAACAAGAAACTGAAACCAACCAATTTTTGAAACAAAATCACGGCTGAAAGTTCTTTAATATGATAACACACCTGACCTCTTACGTTATCAGGTGTGCAAATTTGACGGTTTAGTCTGTTGTACCACGGACACTCGTGCCACACGGGGAGTGGAAAGGCAAGACATTTAAGAATATTTCAGTCAGAACTATTTAACTACGGTGGATAATAACAAAATACGAATTAACTATAAACAGAGATCCGCTATCCTGTTACTCATTTAGACCTTCATGTCGTTGTTTTGTTTATGTTTTTTTTTCCTGTACTGGAATTTTTTCTCAACCTCTCAACGATAAACACGCATATAGCTGGACCCGCCCACTACCCCAACTCATAACAAACCAATTCATAGTACACCCCAACCATAACACTTTGGGTCTTGTTTTTCTATTTCATACTACTTTCTAACCGCATAAGCACAATAGTGAAATCTAGTTATACGTTGTTCACACTTAGATTTGAAATGACTGATTCGTTTAGGCCAGGCCAAGTTCTTGGGCATTAATTACGGACGGAGTGCCTCACTGGAATCATCTGGACTAGCAAACAGAGAAGTTTCCATAACAGTGTCCACAATTGGACGATTAGCCTACAGCTGGGGTAGCGACGAGAACAAGGAGATCGCACTCAAGTCTACTTTGAAGTACAAAATTTTGTGGTAAAAGAAACATTTTTTTCAAGATAATATTTTTCTGAATCCGAAAATTCTCATTTTCTCAGACATTGTATTCTAATGACGGATAGGATAGCTGGGGAAAATTTCATCTATACAGAATCGGTCTCTCAAGAATTCAAATATTCATGACTGAGTAACTTCGGAGTGTTTTAATTAACCAAATGAATTTTTTCTTCTTTAGATTTTGGCTAGCAAATTGATTTCTACTTTAACTAATGGTCAAATTGGTCTTCCAAAAAAAACAGATTAAAAGGCTCAATAAACCTTTTTTTATCAATATCTATCAAATTACCCAAATCTATCAAATTCTATGATGCGCAAACCCTTAATTGTCTTATAGTTTGCTTGAAACACAATTTCTAAATTTTTATGATTTTTCGGAACTCAGGGTGGCTCAATTTTCGTTTTCTAGAAATAACTTTCGCCTAATATCTTTTGATAGATTTACGACTGCAATGACTTGACTCAAAAAATTCTTAATTAGAGTCTTTATTCAAAAACAAGCAAAAAAATGAAAACAAACGAAGTTTTTTCAAAAAATCAAAAAAAGCAAGGTTTATTCAAAAACAGAGATAGATAGTTATTTGGAATTAGCACAGAAAATTCCGACAAGGTACTTTTTCATTAGGTAACTAAACAAAAGTATTTTAAAAATGTTAAGTGAGAGGCGACTGAACTAGGTAAAGAGCCACAGGAACCATATAAAAAATATGAACAGGGATAGCTAGTTACTTGGATGATGTCGGTTTTTGCATGTTGCGATGAAAAGCTTTGAACGAAAAAAAAGAACTTAGGCATATTTGAGAGTCATAATAAAATAGGTCAATTATAAAACCGTTTTTGAAAAAAATGACTAGAAACACAAAAAAAAAATTGCTAATTTATTAAATTTTTGATTTCCTAAATTACGCAACAAAACTCCAAAAACTACCTTTACTTGAAAAAAATTAACTTTTTACGGCTTAAATAAGCTATTGTAAACCTACACGGTCACCTTATTAGCTCGAAATTAGACCAAAAATCAAAAATTTCAAACCGGTTCTTCTCGACTTTGAAAAAAATTTAAAGGTCGTTCGAATCACGACTGAAAGGGCTTTAATATGATATATGACTCAAACCATCCAGATGATTTTATGTGGTACCTGATTTTGCGTGAAAAAAAATGAAAAAAAATTAAAACACACCGGAAACAAAGTTCCTTCCCATTTTCAATGGTCTGAACAAAAAAATCACAAAACACCCAGTCTGAAAAAAAAACAGACTAGTCTAATAACCAGTTTTGAAAAACCAGAAACTCAGACCAACCAATTTTTGAAGCAAAATCACGGCTGAAAGTTCTGTAATATGATAACACACCTGACCTCTTCAAGTTTTCTTTGAGGTACCTAAATATGGGCTAAAAAACTTTGCACCATAGTTTCTTACCTTTTTTCTTTAAGTGGTGGAAACAACAATCAATGTATAGTTTTCTTCAAAAATGAGAATTTTAGTGCAAGTATATTTTGAATTTCACAAAGAACATTAAATTTGATCAATTTGTGAAGTTTTGAGCGCACTGACAAATATCTAGCTTACTATAACTGATCATTCATTCACCTTGGAATCTGTCTCAAGTTTCTGAATCTGGCAGACAAAAATGTTGAATTGCATTGCCAAAAATGGTTTATTTTATGACGAGAGCAACAAATGGATGTTCATTTTCAGTTTTAATTGTTAACGAACTTCGTACGGTTGTTTTCATTTCAGTAGAAAACCAAAACTGGTCAACGCTTTTTTTGAGTTTATGTTAAGTTCCTCAAAAAAACAGAAAGAAGGCCAAATAAAACCACGCCAAGTTTTTTAAACTTCATAAATTTACACGATCGGCTGTTTTTTCTTAAAAACGTAGAGAAAACTGGATCAATAGATAAATTTTTATTTCGCTAAAGAATCAACGCAAAAAAAAAACAGAAAATACTCACTCGTTTCTTTTTTGAAAAAAAAAACATCTTTCGGATTTCAAGGAAACAATAGGGCATTAAAGCTAATTGAACTTCAAGAAATTATGATACACTTCTTTGACTAAATTTACTTGAGAAAACTTGAACAAAGATAAGTTTTTCATTCCGCTGCTAAATCTGAAAATTTATTCCATTTTTGAAACGTGATCATTAATAGGGAATTCACTGATAGTTTATAGGACCTTTATACACTTTAGATGTTCATTAGTTAGTCTTCCATTTAACAAAAGTATATTTGATAATAAAAAAAACAGACGTCAAACAGCAGATGATCAAATTTGAGCGTGGACAAATTTTAAATATTTTTTTACTAAAAAAACTTCTAGAAATCATCACAACTTATTGTTCTTTTTTATCTTAACTACGCATTAATTATGATTTCTCAAATTTGATTACTTAATCAAATAAAAATTCATAAAAAAATCCTTCTTAATCAAAAAAATAATTAATTCGAAAGCTTAAAAAAACAAAAGAATGCAATTTTTTCCTATCTTCCTTGAATTGACATTTTTTTTTCTAACAGTGGGTATATTTAATTGATTTGATCTCGTACGCATAAAAAATTCAGGAATTAGATGCATTTACTTTTCCAATTTTACTTATTTTGTCTTTTTTCAAGTTAATTTAAAGTCGGCTTTTTGCTGACGTTATGTGCAAAATTTGTATAACCAACGTCTTTGTTTAATATAAAAAGTGCGCCAAATGACTTCTATTTTTCAGCAACGGAATGTCGCTGAGTATCCCCTCTGAGCCCTTGAAGATAGTGGGCGGGGAGTTCCAGGTGGGCTGTCAGTGGGTAGCCTCCGAACACGAGATCCGACAGATCATAGTCGACTACAACAACTACCTCGTCAACGAAATGCAGTCCCTCACTTACAGACGCAAAGACGTCCAGCTATACGTCTGAGGACTTGAAGCCGATAGCCAACCAAGACGAAAAAAAAACAGAGCGATAAATTGGTTTTCAATGTTTCGGAAACCAATATAAAAAAAATGGAAAGAACATCAGAAGTTGAGTCCTAAACCCGCTGATTTATGCAATTTGTGGTTCAGTGACACCTGTAAACCCAAACTGATTACCTTTTTAAGCTCATCGGACAAATTGGTTCAATTCGATTGCAATAGTTGGAACTGTCCACAAATATTCAATCTCAAAACTCCGAGGAACTTCGATCTCAAAACTTCGTGTTAAAAAAATGAAAAACTTCAGCGGCCTTAAATACCATTGTTTCAAATATATATTTTCCTTCAGATAAATCGACTTTTTTAGACTGAAGCTGATGCTATGATTAAAATGTATTGTTATGTAATTTTTAATTGAAATTTAACTAACTGATGGCTTTAGATAAGTACCTTAACTGCAATTTTTAACCAGCAAACATATAACTGGGTTCGAACTAGCTAATTTCTAAGTTTATATCAATGAAAAACTCATTTGAAAACTATCGCTTCTAACTAATCTAACTAATTTTAACAGCACATGAACAGCACAAAAGAAAGGATAGATGAAAAAATGTAATTGTCGCCGAGAAATTTAAAAATACTGCTACGCGTTGGCATTCTGGGATGAGACCAGGTAATTTTTGAAGTTGATTCTCTTTTTGAAGATACCGAATACAAACTCTGAAATTGTGATGACAGGAGAGAAGATTGGCAGTTGTTTTGGGACTGCTGCCCCTTCGACGTCTGAAGTTGCCGGCTCCATGAAGACGGGAGGCTGGGCTGCGAATGGGTATAGTGTTAACTCTCTTGGTGCAGTGAAACTTAATTTAACTACTAAATCTATTTGTAGATCCCATAAACATTTGTGACTACTCTTTTAATAGACTCAGACACTCCTATCTCCAAACACTAACCAAAGCAAAAATATCCGAGTAGATAAGGATGAGGTAAGCAAAAAAAAACCCTGAACTACGAAAAAAAACCTGAACTACGAAAAAAAAACGAACTACGAAAAAACCCAAACAACGAAAAAACCCAAACAACGAGAAAAAAAACCGAGCTACGAAAAAATCACGATTCTTTTCCTCGACCCCAGACCCCCTACCCCCGTATATTCACACACGAAAGGTTTCGCTATAAAGTTCCTGTCCATTACACTATCACTGAGTTTAAGTATTGATCCTACTAATCTCACCTTCGAAAGCACTTAGAATGAGGAATGGGAAGAGGATGGAGTAGACACATCCATTGATCAGTGCAGAGTGGTGTGCAGAGGAGAGGAGAGTGAGAGGGAGTCCAAATCCCAGGAAGTAAGGCACGTTACTCTACAACACAACAGGGTCAAAATCATATGGTGCACTTAATCAACATGAAAGTTTAATTTTAAAACCATTTAACTTTTTCCAGCAATTAGACAGCATTAACTATTTTAACATCATTATCCAACTTATAATTGCTCTTATGTCTCAAAGAATTACTGTTGTGCCCTTAATTTAGAATTAGATAAAACTTTTGCTGGTGATTTTTTTCTCGATGGGACTCCTGGACACTTCACCACCGCTCCCATTTCTAGATGTTTTTCAAATTCTCTTTTTAGACAATTGTATGGAACTGGAACCAGTTTGATTTGAATAATTTATAAAGACACTGAGAGAGAGAGAGATAGGAAGGGCGTGGTGCTATTTATTCAGAATCCACAAATAGCTCTTTTTAATTCAAGCTGTATATTCGAACGTTTCTCAGTTAATTAAAGTTTAATTCAGAAATTAATGTATGTATGCGGCGGTTTGTACCTGTATGCGAATGAGTCTGTCTTTTGCGTCGTGTCTCTGTGCCCACCAGATGTACTCGAAGGCGTAGAGGGAGTAGAGGAGAGACAGGTGGAATATTGAGAACAGATAAGACAGGTAGCCCAGAGGCAGCATCGAGAACACTGTAGCCTACAAGCACACGTAATTTTGAAGCTATTCGGGGAGTTGTGAACCTTCAAATCGAAATATTATTAAGACTTGAACATCGATTAGACATGGAACAGAACTCAGATTGCATCAATTGGCAGTGCTGCCATGGGTTTTTCGAAGAAAAAACACATTAAGACACACACCCTTGTGACAAATTTTAGACTTTATGACAAGTAACTGAAACTATAAACAATTTTTCGTTGGTATTTTTAAGATAGAAAACAGCCCAAGTCATTATTGAAACAAATCTGATCGTGATGACAAAAAATTACAACAATTACTGACTTCAAAACTCTTCAAACACTTGCTAATTGTCAAATCGAATACACTCAAAGTCTTTGAAACATGGACTTTGAAGACAATTGACTAAGCCGATAAAACATAAGCCGAAACCATTCAAATCGAAAAATGGAAATAAAAAACTTATTCTACATCCAAGTTGTTGAATTGGCGAAATATCAGGACGACTGTTAAAATCAGGAAAATTTTTTGCGTTTCTGTCGAAATTAAGCCGACAAAAAATCAGCGGATATCGATTTTTGCTGTTTGCAGATTTTAGAAATACAGCTGACAAACAAAAGTCCGAAAAACCGCGGACATTAGGGAAGGGTCCAAATGAAATCGCGTTACCTCTAGATCAAGAGGGAAGAGGCCTCGAAGTTGTATGGTTCAATAACAAAGCAAGTTTAATTTCTGATAGATGTGTAAGAAAAGCATTTGCAGGCAAATATCGAATTCCGATTAAAAGAGACCGGCTTCTCCATAACCCCGGTCCTACTCATTGCAGGACCATTCATAGGGAATGGGATGCAATCCATTTTGTCGTAGCCGATCGCACCTTGAGGCGGAAGACACTGAGACCCGTCCAACCGGATCCAGCGGCAACCGCCTACTCGTGGTGGATTCGTCTCCAACTGGAGCAAATGGTGCCAACCCTGCCGCAACAGCGACAGACTTCCCAGAACACCCACAGCGGAGAGAAAGTCTTCAGGAAGATTCTGAACACTGCTTCTGCTCACAACATTCCCTCCGGACGCATTCCCAAAGCCAAGCCCAACATTCCGCCAGCAGCCTCCCGCCTGATCAAGCAAAGAGACGAAACAAGAAGAAACAACCCTCACTCCAAAGACATTCCGACCTTGAACGCCAGGATAGACTTCCTCATTTCCAAGCAAAGAATGGAGAAATGGAAAGAGCATGTGGCAACATTCGACAGAAAAACCAATGTGACCAAACTCTGGAAGACAATCGGCGCGATCACAGGAAAGAAACAAAGTGCCCCTCCAAATCAAGGAATAAAATTCAACGAAAAACAGATTAAAGACGCCAGCAGTATGAGCAACGCTTTCAATATACAATACGCAAGACCAATGAACCACAAGACCGAGAAAGACAACAGGAAAATAAACAGAAACATAAAGAAACAACCTCTCAACGACGCCCCAGTCATTACCTCCAAACAAGTAAAAACTGCCATACAGAACGCGAAGAACTCCAAAGCATTCGGCCCAGACAACATCTCGACCACTCACATGAAACACCTCGGACCAAATGCTATCAACTACCTCACGAAGATCTTCAACCTGTCGCTCAGCAAATGCCAGATCCCAGCAATTTGGAAGTCGTCAGTCATTATTCCGCTGCTGAAACCAGGCAAAGACGCAGGCCTCAGCAACTCGTACAGACCCGTCTCCTTGCTTTGCCCAGCCTCGAAGATCCTGGAGAAGTGCATCCAACCTCTCATCACCGAACACCTCCACTTCGCCAGTCACCAACACGGCTTCCGGTCCAAGCACTCAACGGTCACCGCTCTTTGTGACATCACGACAGCCATCTCCAACGGCTTCAACAGAAAGAAACCAGCCGACTCTGCTTGTCGCGATTGACCTGTCGAAAGCCTTCGACACGGTTAAGCATTCCAAGCTCCTCGACCTCATCAACAAGACCAGTCTGCCCAGTGCTCTGAAAAGATGGCTCGCGAACTTCCTACAAGGACGACAAGCAAGAACACTGTTTCGCGACTCTCTCTCAAAAGCACGGATAGTTCGGTTTGGAGTGCCACAAGGATCAGTTTTGTCGCCACTCCTTTTCAACTACTACGTCGCAGACGCACCTAGCCCTCCGGACGAAATCAAGATCAAGTCCTACGCAGACGACTTCACGTCCCTCATTCTCGGCACCGACATACCAGCAATGGCAGGAAAACAAACGGAGTACCTCGCAGTACTAGTGAATTTCTTCGAAGAGCGAAACCTCCAGATCTCCATTGACAAGAGTTTTGTCACGCTGATGACACCACAGACAGCCCAATACAAAACCGTTCCTGAAGTGAAGATAAACAATGAACAAATAAGAATGAACAACCAAGCGAAGATCCTCGGCATCACTTTCGACACCATGCACACTTTCGGGGCCCATTGCAGAGACACTGCGAAGAAATGCTCTCAACGCAACAACGCCCTGAAAGCGCTTGCCGGCACTGACTGGGGAAGCGACAAGGAAACACTCCTCATGACCTACAAAGCCGTTGTTCGCTCTAAACTTGAGTACGGCGCCGCTGTGATAACGCCCACACTCTCCGAAAGCAACATCGAGAAACTACAGAAGGTCCAAAACAGCGCCCTGAGAACAATCACCGGATGCCACGCCATGACTCACATAGACCACCTTCACCAAGAAACATCCGTTCTACCAGTTAGACGACACCTCAGAATGCGAACGATACAACATCATCTCGCCAACCACTTGCCAGATCACCCAGGAAACCAACTCACGAAAGAACCCAAGAACCCACCAAGACTCATGAAAGAAACCCTCCAAACACGATATGAAGAAAGATACATTGAACCTCTACTCGACAGCAATAGACCTCTAACCGAAAAGAAGTACAGAAACCTGCTAAAAACGATCCACACAAATGAGGTACGCGACGCCTTACAAACATACGAATACCCAGCAGTCCTCGGACACAATCCACCAAAAATTGCCAAAGAAGAAACCGAATTACCAAGAACAACAAGAAGAACACTGGCACAGCTCAGATCCGGCTACTCAAAGTTCCTGAACTCGTACATGAACAGAATTGACCCGACAGTAAGCGAACTTTGCCCGGACTGCCAGCAAACAAGCCACACAACTATACACCTGTTCGACTGCATCGCAAATCCTACGAACTTAACCCCAGCCGATCTCTGGAAGCAACCGAAGAAGACAGCAATATTCCTGAAACTCCCCACAACCCTGGACCCGACAACGAGCGACGAATAGATCTCAGAAGGGCAACAACAACAACAACAACCCGTCCAACCGTGACCCATGTGAGAGACGTGTTCCTTACCCACTCGGCCACGGTAACTCAAGACACTGACTCTCGCAAGTTTTAATACCACAAAAGGCATGAAACAAGAAATATTTCAGACGGAAACACATTATCCTGTTATTAATCTCAAAAAACGGTAACCTGCACCAACACAAAAGGGACGTTGACGTACTTTAACATTTTCGATGAAAAAAAATGGCTTGCAATCAGATATAAGACTGAAATCATTGCTCAGAGTATCCATTATTTCACCTAATCACAAAATTTGAGAAATAGAAACTGGGTCGTTGTCAAACATAAAATAAAATCATTAATCATAGGAAGGCAGTTTTTTCATCATTCATTACTTGACCTCATCGAAAAGACTGATGGAAATCAAAAACTGATCAGTTGTCAGAACTGTAGTGTGATCAAAAACCATAGAAATGTAGTTATTTTATCATTTATTAGATGACCTATTCAAACATTTTCCATAAAAAAAACTGGTTCATTATCAGATATAAGACAGAAACCATTGATCATAGGCAGGTCGTTTTTTCTTGATTCACTTGACCAAATCAAAAAGTGCAAGGACAAATAAAAACTGGTTTAATGTCAGATATAAACGTGAAACCAAAAACCATAGGAAGGCAGTTATTTTATCATTCATTAGTTGACCTATTCAAACATTTTCCATGAAAATCGTTTATTATCATACATAAGACAGAAAATAATGATTATAGAAAGGCAGTACTTTCATCATCCATTACTTCACCTAATCAAAAAAATTGATGACAAATAAAACTGGGTCCTTGTCAGATGTAAAAAGAAATCATTTATCATATGAAGGCAGTTTTTTCATCATCCATTACTGGACCTCATCAAAAAGACTGATGGAAATTAAAAACTGGTCAGTTGTCAGAACTGTAGTGTGATCAAAAACCATAGAAATGTAGTTATTTTATCATTTATTATATGACCTATTCAATCATTTTCCATGAAAAAAAACTTGTTTATTATCATATATAAAACAGAAAACATTGATCAAGGAAAGGCAGTTTTTCATCCATTACTTTTCATCCATTACTCGTCCTTGGGAGATAAAAAAAGAAATCAATAATCTTCAGAAGGCAGTTTTTTCATCATCCATCACTTGACTTCATCAAAAAGATGAAGAAAAATCAAAAAGCGGGATGACAGTTTTTAAGATCGTAATCAATACCCAGAGGAAGGCAGTTGAATTATCATTTATTAGCTGACGTATTCAAACATTTTCCATAAAAAATCTGGTTTTTATCATATAAGACAGAAAACAATGATAATAGAAAGGCAGTTCTTTCATCATCCATTACTTGACCTAATCAAAAAGTTTGATGACAATTAAAATGGGTCCTTGTCAGATATTAAAAGAAATCATTAATCATAGGAAGGCAGTTTTTACATCATCCATTACTTGACCTCATCAAAAAGACTGATGGAAATCACAAACTGGTTAGTTGTTAGAACTGTAGTGCGATCAAAAACCATAGAAATGTAGTTATTTTTATCATTTATTAGATGACCTATTCAAACGTTTTCCATGGAAAAAACTGGTTTATTATCAAAGACAGAAAACATTGATCCTAGAAAGGCAGTTCTTTCATCATCCATTACTTGACCTAATCAAAATAATGTTTCATGG